GAAATGGCGATTTTCACGACAAATCACTCATTACGTCGTTTTGAAAATGAAAGCTGAAATATGTGAAGGTTCAATATTCGTCAGATTCGGTAACTCCTACAGGGTGAGGCTGAGAGGGTACACAAACGTCAACACTTTCAGGATTGCCATTTACTTTAAGTTAGATGTTTTTTCATCGGGGAGTTTCAAAATGAACACCACGAACCGGTACGTATAAACCTTAGCTGAATGAAGATTTCTTAGTCAACCATGAGGACAGGAACGAAGTAGTGTTTAAGGTAAAAATGACTCTCTATCACTGAGAAAACAGGTTTTTCTAAGTGAGAGACGGAAACGGAACGCACCTGAAAACTGAAAAGGGGAAGGTGTATATGCGAGATAATTGGGCATTACTTATTAAATTCAGTTATTGCTCTGTTTCACAGAAACATCACTCACATCGCGAATGAACCTATAGTGGCTGTGCTGTTCGACACTCATTTTAATCCGAAGCTACATTCATCCCATGCAGTCCAATTTCCAAGCGAGTGACATTCCTGAAGCGGTCAATCTTCTTTTCCATTCGAAACCTATGTAGCGAGAGTCTACACTCGTTCTCCTAGTGCAGCCCATACTGAATCGAACTCGGCCCCGTTGAACGCCTTCTCATTGCTGGCGAGTGCGACGTAAAGACCGAACTACTGTTCCATCATTGGCCTAGTGCCATTGTTGGAAAACGCCAATCAGCTACAAGAAAGAATGCAGGAGCTTGAATGGAACATTGTTTAAGTCGGAATGAGAATCAATCGGTTAAAGACGAAGATTTCGCAGCCGGATGTTCCTGCAAAGGTTCAAGAAATATTAAAAACCAAAAAGATGGAAGAATTCGATAAGTTCCTTAATATTGACTAAGAGATAAGCACGCAGCATTAATTCACTATAACGAATCCACCAAGAAAGTGACGCAGCATTCGTTGCGTTCCAGTAACTTCGAACTGGACAACATAGGAAGATACTCGGCCCCCTACTTCCACTTCTATTAAAATGTCATGACAGCGATGGGGCATGAATGTAAGATCTGCTTAATTGCGAAGGTCGTCAGGTATCTGTCACTCGGAAAACAATGGAAAAAAGAATGCTGTTTCTCACACTTGGCGACAACATTCCTATTCCGGTGAATCGGAAACGCCTATAAGCCTAAGAGACGTCGTTGCCTGTAGCAGAAAGGAGAAACGGTTGCTTGAACCACTGATGGATACGGTCAGTGATGATCGCCAACAGGTACCCCTGGCTCGATCGCGGGGAGGACGGAGGGGGAAGGATGCAAGACTGGTCAGTCGCCGCCAGGATGTCGGATGAGTGTTAAACTGGATCAGAAGGTAGCGCATCAGCGAAAGCTTGAAACCGCGACAAACGGCCATCGCCCTAGAGCCTGATGCGTCGCCAATTACCGCCTATCAAGGTGCTAATATATGTTCTCACAGACTTTCAGTGATGACAATCATTGCTCAATCTTGACAGAAAGGGCATGGTGCTGAGCATAAGTTAAAGTAATGAGGCTTTTAAAAGGATTGCCATAACGATGAGGTCTGACATGTGTCCACTTCATTTGCCATCGTGTGTTCGTTCTCCAGTTGATGATCATATCCTAACCAGCGGTGATCAGTATTTTACTTTCGAGGATAAAACTTCTGAAACGTGCGTTTCCGGCTCGCAACTTTCCGGACAACAAGGATTAGAGAAATCTGTGACTCCAGAAGCTAGTACTGCAAGAGGAAATTTCCGTGTTAATATTGGAACGTTCGTTGGTTGTCTTGTGAAGGTAGGTTCCACAATATCTGCCCTAGCGTCCACTTTAACAGACTTGACGAATCTCATTCGAATGGGATGCTTGACCTACTGTACGTATAATCATTTCGTTGGCGAGGTTAGAGCAGGTCAAACAGTGCCGCTTTCGGTTCAATTGGCTCTGATGGTAATCCATCGGTGATTTCGGTGGTAAAGGTACCGAAACCGATTAAGTTAAATATCAATACTGTTCATGCCAGGAATAAAACCTACGCCTTTAAATTCTTCACATGAGATTGTGGCCGAAGCTTCTGTAGGGCTGTAACAAGTGGTGGCCGAAAAATTGCCGTCCGTCCATAGCATGAAGCAGACAAACAGGTACCAGAGGGTGGAGTCATATGTCATACTACAGAGATCATTCAGCCTAAGCCACCAAGTATAGCTGGAAGAATACAAGCAGACTCCTGTCAGCCAGGATATCTTGATGCACCACAGCGGACCCGATAACCATCGTCTGTTAATATTTTCCCTACGAATAATCTGCAACTATTATGTGAATCATTCAACTGATATTATGTCGGAATATTTATAACTGCTCCTCTATTCTTTGAGCAACTGTAAACGATCTAAATCCGAAATCTCCGTGCACTATCCATCGTACGATTGCAATGCGTACGGCATTTGAGGTCGTTTCAGGGAGGAACGATTACCCGGACGAGGCGCAAGTGTTCATAGACTACTTCGAGCATTCGTGGATTGGCCGTCCAGATCTACGTCAGTTACGAAGGCAATTACGCCATGCTCAACAGTTTCGAACTGCTTCGATGCCATCCACTAGGGCCTGCCAAAAACGAATTATGTCGTAGAGGGACGGTATCGAGAATTTTCGCAAGTCATTGACTTGCAATATCCATACATACGGAAGTTCATTGCTGGTGAGGAACAGAAACAAAGCATGAAGGAAACTGAGGTCATGCAGTTCATTGCGGGCCAGCCCCAACATCCTCAGAAGAAGAAACATGTTGATTCAACTCAGCGGATAGTTGATTCGTGATCTGGTAGATGCTGGGGAACGACGACACCAATATGCAAACAATATAAAAGGCATTGCACACAATTTTAATTAGTAATCAGAAAGACTCAAGCGCTGCTTCACACTTAATTTTTTCGTTGCATTGTACGGAATGTGCATGTGCAATAAAATATCAATAATGAGTCAAAAATCAATAATCACTTGTATCCTTTATCTTTAGAACTCAGGGTTGATAAGCAACTGTTCGTGAGCAAATTGGCGCCGGAAACAGGACAGACATGAGAAACGAAGCCAAAACGCAACATGGAACAACAAACTGAAAGAATATCTGCTTTCAAGAGGCACATGTCCTTCTATGATGACAAAATTTGTACTTTATAGAAAAAGTATTGAAGACCTGCTGCTGTAACGCCCAGGGCAGGTCAGAGACACCCTGAGTATGCAGCACACTATAATTCATGATTTCAACGTATACTGACAAATAATACAAATAAAGTAGAGTGAGTTC